TTATTATCTATAATTATTTTTTTAATATTTTTGTATTTTAAAAAAGTAAATCAGAGCTGAATGAATACAAAAACGCAGGCAAATTTGCCTATGTTGGCCTATAATCTAAGGGATAAAGATCTATTTTCATAATCGAGCATCTTAAAAATTGCAGATTTTCTTTCTGCCCTATTGCCACTATTTTTCATTGTTTTTCTAAAAAAAGTTAAAACCTAATTATGATTCTTTTTCTCAACGGCACTACAAGAAAATGCAACAAACCCTAAATAAAAAATATATAATAATGCAATTAATACAATTAGCGTTAGGGGGTTTTAGAATTAACTTATTTCGAATTAAATTAGATTTGATAAATATCTACTGGTAAACAATTATGCAAATAAGTATACAGTCAGACCTTTCTAAATACATCCTCTCAGGATTATAAGAAAAAAATTGAAAAGTGTGCATTTAGAGAGGGTATGTATTTATAGAGAGCAAAATATATAGAGCTCTTATAAGCTGAGGCCGGACTATACTATGCATTTAGAAAAAATTTATATAATCTGTGCACTTAGAAAAGTGTATTTATGGAGGTTTGACTATATATATTTTTGAAAAAATATGATTTATTTTGATTAATTCTGAAACCCTATTATAATTAAATGTAAGGAATAGCATAAATACCAAAATTTCGATGACAAGCTATAAACTCTAGGATATGATTAATCAAAACATGTATATATAGAGTTACATCTTTTGAACAATAAAGACCTTTCTTAAAGGATATTGTATTTGGTTCACTCTCATGAGATGTAAGAAATAAGTTGAGCTATTTTTTTGCTTGATCTGCAAAAAAAGACGAATCAGTTTCTGGTTACTTCATAAGTTTGTAAAGTACATAAAAGTCTCTCTACAAATGATTGATTAATGTAGCTTGCTCTTTGTTAAAAATAACATCAAAGTTAAACCTGTACAATATCTTTTCTTTATCATCTCCTATTAGGGAAGTATAATTCTAGTTTTCCATATTATATTCTTGCCAAAATTGAAAATTTATTAAAATTCTATCCATCTCTCTAACAATAACTTTTCTATTATGTTCATCATATCTATATTCAGATTTAAGTTCTTGGATGACTAATTCTCATAATATATCATAAATTTTTAACATAATATGGAGCTCGTCAGATATATAATGATCCAAAGGGATCATTGGAATAAGAGATACTTTTGAATGCCTAGGTGGTAGTCTTTCAGCTTTAATTTGTTCTATATTTTTTTCAATAGTGTAAACTTTATCTTTTATACCTATATCTTTTTTAGTATACAAGCATCAAAAACAAAAATAAGTCATATTTGGTGCATTGAACCTCAAGATTATACATATAAATTTCCAATCACTACTAAAAAAAGATACTATTTTCCATTTGATTCTAGTAAAATTGTCTAACCTATTTTTTATTAAATTATCCAATTCACTAGCTACTGGTACTGTTACCTTCTTTAAAAGATCATAGTTTTCTAACCTAGGGTATAAAACAATTATATGGTGGTAATCAGTATTGTAAAGATTTAATATATCATCTAGAATCGCACATATAATCATTACATACTTGATTTTTCTACCTACGTTTTTATCGTCATCTGATATGCAGATATAGATTACAAGATTATTTATATTTAAAATTTTATGATTTACAAGGCCTGGAATTAAAAAGAGTAAGATATCTATTATGTATCAATAGCCTGCCTTGCTGATGTATTTTAGCATCTCTTCTTCAATTTCTGAATCATTAATATCAGATAACTTATTTGTAACTATAAATATAAGAGGTATGTCTGTAATATTTAAAATTAAAATAGGAATTTGTTGACTCAACTCTTCATTAATTTTTTTTCTAGTACTTAAAATAGTATAATCACATGGTAGTTCATATTGAAGAGTAGCTAACTTTCTATAAGCATCTTTAGAAATTGGACTTTGATCAATAATTTTGGTCATTGCTTCAGTATGTCGATTATTTTTTTTTCTATCTTTATGAAAACTAACAACATAATCCTTCTCTTGAACATTAAATCATAACTCTTAGAGGATTGGTTGATCAACCGGATTATAGAACTTGGAAATTGCATTTTTAAAAGCAGTACCAACTTGCATTGAAAATATGCGGAAACGTTTGGTTTTCATGGAGTTGCTTAACATATAAAATAGTTTAAAAGAATGAGAATAATTTTTTTTTTCTCACTCTTTTTCTATGTCTATTGCATTAAGCCTAAACACATGAATCCCAGAAAGTTTGGCTTGCATATTTGGATTTCTTTTCTATATAAATGAAAATAATAGAATTTTATTTTATTTATTTTTATAAATTTAGATATATATAATTATAAAAATTTATATTAAAAATATATTAACTTGTAAATATTCATTAGCTGCTTTAGTCAAAGAATTCTTCGATTCTATTACAAATTTTTGGTCATTATCCTCAAACCTAATTATAAATACAAGTTTATTTATTTTATATTTAACCTCATATTCTATTACATGCTTTGACTGTTCTCTGCTCCATCTTGTTTGTACTAAATAATTATTCAGAATCTTGTATTTAGTTCTGTTACGAGAGTAAACTATGGTATAATATATAATGCTTATTGATGGATAAAATCTTTCACTAATAATAGTATATGTATAGGTAGTATTGTAATTCAAAAAAGAGGTTTAGGCCGCAACCCTACTGAATATAATATATTCAACATGTTTATTTAGACTAATACCCACTAAATATTATATAGAAATAATAGATATAGCTAAAGTAAAAAAGGCATCTAAGGCATTTAAAGTCTGCTGAGGATAACAATTCTATGGAACAAAATAATCTTGGAACCTGCTATGAGATGCATGCCAAAGATAAAAAAGGTATTTGAGCGAATCTATGAAAAAAAACATTTTTGCATATTCTCAATACAAATTGGCATAGTATTTAAAAATAAAATTTCCAAATTTTATAATCCGACAG